AAACATATCGAAATATCTCTTATTACACCTCTTTCAAATGCTAATGTAGTAAGAATATTTTCCCAAACAAAGTTGATTAAGAATAAATTAAGGAACAAAATGAATCTTGATACATTAAATAATCATTTAATGATTTTATTAAATGGGCCTGAAATTAAGACTTTGATTTTGAGAAAGCATGTGAAAAAAATAGGAAGATAATTCATAGAACTATTCTTTTCCATGATTTGTAACTTTATGAATTTGATCATATGTGCACAAATTTTTTTATACAGATCACAAGATTGTTGAATTTCCAACACTGATATGGATTGATCAACAAAGTGTTCAGATTCGATTTTCATATTTTTGGAAATCTCCCTGACTGGAATAAGAAAGAGCTGGAATTATCCTTTCCAAAATGAAATTGGATATGGAAACAACTTGTCAATTTTTTTATTTTAGGGCATCTCGCCCCTATTTCTAAATTTTCCAATTAATAATAATAACAACAATAATGTTTAACACTTATTCCACTATTATAATTTTTTTAATATATATTACACTTGTCAAATCTTATTCTCCCAAAACACGTTGTTTTCACACTTCAATTAGTAATGATACGAAGCTTTATTTTTTTGGTGGTTACAAGGAGGACTATTCAGTAGGCAGTGAGGCCTTTTATTTAGATCTAGGAGAGTCATTTAGCAGGAGAACACCTAAATGGATAGAAAGATCAAAAGCAAATGTTGAACTAATGCATAGTTCTGTGTGTAAAACAGCCAGAAACTCATTTATATTCATTGGAGGAACTTACAAAAATGATCATAATCCAGAGAGAGAAAATCCACTTATTGAATATAACCATGAATATGATATATGGCTTTTACCTTATACTGAAGAACCTTTTGATTGGCGAATAAATACTCAATGTGTTTCGGATAATAAAGGAACTGCTTATATTTTTAGTGGATATACCCAATTTATTCCAACTAACAATATTATGCACATATTAGATACAGTTAATATGATTTGGTCAACAGGCTCAATAGAAAATGCACCATCATATAGACATGGATACACTTCTACTATGTTATCTAATGGTTTAATTGTATATATTGGAGGATGCAATGATTCTGAATGTATACCAACAAATCTGGTATTGATTATTTTGTTTAATGTTGAATTTTGTATATTTTAATTTTTTACTAGTTAATAATTTGATTATTTTTTTTAGATAAATGTTTATGATACAAAAATTAATAAATGGTCTTTATTTGTAAGTTATTAAAAATAAAATAATTTAGTTGCTGAGAAACAAATATTAATTAATTGTTGATATTGGTATTGATATTAGAGCACTAGAGGTCAAGATATTGGTTTTCGTGAATATCATTCTGCAGTCTTGGGTGAGAATTTCATGACTTTTTAAAAAATACATTAAATATTATATATTTATATATTGACAATTAATATTAAATATAGGACCAAATGATTCTATAATTATATTTGGTGGTTATAATTATCATAATCATAATCATAATCATAAATTTCTATATCCTCATTTAGCAGTATTAAATACTGCACATGCCTCTTGTGAATGGTCAACACCAAAAATTTCAAATAATGCTGATACACCCCCATTGCTTTATGGACACAGTGCAACCTCAATTGACAAATATATGATAGTTGCATTTGGTATATTAACAATCTATTCATATATTATTTGTGTGTTATAACAATATTATAGTTTATATTTGAACTTGGTTAGTTGATACATATTTATATTTTAAATTATGTAGGTTACAAACAGGATATGAAAAATAATATTTATATATTTTTGAGAATCTTCCATCCATCCACCAACACCAGAACACGCCCATATTTTCCGTTAGATTTGTGAATTATTTAATTTTATTTCTTAAATAATTGAATTATAATATCAAATAAAATTTTATTGTGAAGCCCAATCGCGTGGATTTTTTAAGACCTCAATTAATTTTTCTTCAATGCTGTTTTTCTCAGGTGAATGCATATATTCCCATCTGGAAGTCAATGGCAAAGACATAAAAATGCTTTCAATTCTTGCACCAGGAGTTTGTAACCCAAACTTTGTGCCACGATCCCACAACAAATTAAATTCTACATAACGTCCTCTACGTATTTGTTGCCAACGTTTCTGCTCCTTGGTGAATTTCATGTTCATTCTTCGTTTCACAATTGGTATATAAGAAGGCAAAAGTGCATCACCACATTGTTTAACAAATTCAAATATTTCTTCAGGTTTTTTCTCATCTAAATCATCAAAAAATATACCACCTACACCACGTGCTTCTTCGCGGTGTTTCAAATAAAAGTATTCATCACACCATTTTTTAAATCTTGG